TCCCTCTGGCTTTCTAGTAACAAACTCTGGCAAACTCTGTGCTAGGGTGACAGCACGTGTGCCCACAGAGAGGGCTCCTAGTGCCAACTCTGGCATGCGTGCCACAGGTTTGCCACCACTATCTTAACCCTTCTGGTTATCTGTTACAGCCATTCTAATTGAACCTCCTCAGTTTCCTAATATTTATTTCATCTGTTCTCCACCACTTCCTAGCAAGATATAGATATAGATATAGATATATAGATATATCCCAAAGGATATTAACACATCCACTTTAACTCCACTTTAACCCTAACTTGGGTAATCTAACCCCTTCTAACTGCACCTCATAGCAGTCTCCCTCAGTCTCCTCGGCTACTATCCCTCAGGGTACAATGACACACTCCCCTAACACATGGCTCTGCCTTGCTATTTATACCTGTTCCTGGGAGCAGCCCCCACCTTTTTCTAGCTTCACTCCCATTGGCTGTTCTCAATATTTTAAACTGCCTGTGTTCTTCACAGATGCCATGTGATAAAGGGGGGGAGAGGAAGGTAGACATCCTTGTATTTTGAAAGAAGCCTTCAAGTGCTGTAAACAAGGCTCAAAAAGTTTTTGTTTACTTTCTCCAGATTATCCAACCTGCCTATCCATGTCCATACTGTTAGCTTTGAATAAAAGGTTTCCAGAAACTTGGTGAATTGCTCCTCTTTTTTTTTTTGTGAAGTAGGAACTTATTCCCGTTCTTTCTGTGTTCTTTCTACCACATTTTCTGTGAAAAAAGTAAAGCTCAGAAATGCACCCATTTTTTAAAACTACGATACACCTGTATTCTACTTTTTTGTTCACAAGTGCCTGTCACGGTGAAAACATGGGAAAGGTTGTAAGGATTCTCGGAGCAGTTTCTGCACTTGCTCTCCAAGCATAGCATTGAAACTGGTGTTACAACTATATATTTTTTTTTTGAGATAAATAGTACAAATAGCATCTCCCCCAAGAAGTCAGTTTATATCCACAAAAGCTCATGCAAAAATAAAAAATCAGTTAGTCTTACAGGTGCAGCTACATTTCTTTTTCTCCTCCCCCTCTGTTCGTTTATATATCTTAAAATCTATTTTCAACCTCAACTGCCCTGTTATGCACGTACATACAATGCAACATCCTACATTTTTCCAAATCAGGATGATCCCTGTTATTAAGTATCTTTAACAGGAAAAACTGGGTTTACAATTTTAAAAAGGTTAAATATTTAGTTGTTATTATTTTGAATAGTAACTCATTTCAAAATAACTATGTTCCAAAACATACTACAGAAATATTCCAGTTTGAGACTGCTTTAACTGCCCTGGGAACTGTAGTTTGGTGAGGCATTGAACCTTCTCTGTCAGAGAGCTCTGGTGCCACAATAAACTACAACGCACAGGATTCCCTAGCACTGAGCCAGGGCAGTTAAAGCGGTCTTAAACTGGATTATTACTGCAGTGTGTTTTGGACCTATGTCAAAATTATGAATGATAGGTTTTACTAAAATGGAGTAAAATGACTAAGACGGTCATTACTGGGTAGAATTTCAGTTATAAAGATTAATATTTTAACTAAGATGTTATTTCTGTTTCAGACAGTACCTATTATGAATGATATACCAGTTTGACACTGCCTTAACTGTCATGGCTACTACAATGTCATGGATGTAGAATGACACTACTATCTGGCTGAACTTTTGCTTTCTTTCTTCATGCAATAAACTCCTCTGACTTATGGTGAGCCTAAGGTGAATCTATTATGGGGTTTTCTTGGCATTTGTTCAGAGTGGGTTAGTCATTCCTTTCATCTGATTTGCCCAAGGTTAATATGGGTTTCCCTTTGCAAGCAGGGATTGGAACCCTCCTAGTCCAGCACATAAATCATTGTGTCATGCTGGCTCTATCTGAGTGTGTATGAATACTTATTTGCAATGGAATGTACTCTGCAATTGTTAGCAAAATTTAACTTGGAGACTGAATCTTACATTCTTGTTAGATTGTTATATCTAACAAGATATAACATGGGAATACAATGTGATTTTTAGAAGAGTATAACACATTAAAGTGTCTCTCTCCAAGTTCCACTACTCCGTCAGCTCTACTACTAATTAAGAAAATCAGCTGGTTTGAAGTGTGTTCAATGTATAAACTACCACATGCACACACTCCTGGTATTTTCTATAAGGGTTTTCTATAAGTGCATTTGCATCAGATCCTGTAACACTCAGTATAGTTTAAATAAAGTTATATGTCTTATGTCCCGAGAAATAATGAAAGTGACAGAGACCCCATCTGACAGAATGGCAAACTGATTTAGTGCTATGTGATTGAGTCAGATTGGAGGTGGCTTGTGGACAAACAATGGATTGTTCAAGCCATAAGTTATTGAGTTTAAGAAAAATAGCAAACTATAGTTTGTCAGAGAGCCAGAATGGTGCAAGACCCAGAAGGGTATAGTGGTTTGAATGTTAGATTAGGGCTCTATGAGAACAGGGTTCAAATTCTCACAGAGTCATGGAAACCCATATGGTGACTTTGGGCAAACCTTTGGGTAGGTCACCCTTTCTCAGTCTCAGAGGAAGGCAATGGCAAATCTCCTCTGAACTAATATTGCCAAGAAAACGTCATGATAGGTTTGTTTTCAGATCTCCACAAGTCGGAAATGACTTGAGGACACATAGCAATAGTCAGAAGGGTACACAGCAACAGTTCATAAAGAAGGAAAGTAATCAGCTGGCACTAAGGGATAAAGAGCATGCATGCTCAAGGCTTATTTATATATCCTCAAAACACAGTGTGCTGTTATGCCTAAATGTAACATTACAGAGAATGTATGTCTCTGTGTGGTCATAAGATGTGGGTGGACAAGCTCCAGAGGACATATTTCATTCCCCAGCATTCACTGTTGGCTACATCACTCCCTCAAAATAGAATCTGAAGTCATTAGCCATCTACTTCCAGTTCTGCCCATCCAAGACCAAAACAAGGAGACCAAAGCAAGGGGTTGACTGTGACCCATGGATTATGATTCCAAGCCCTGGTAAGAAGTAACAAAGATCACCTCCAATTTTCAAAGTCAGGAAGCATAATCACAGCAGCATTAAGTATTGCAATAAAATCAAATAAAATCTCTATCATGTTAAAGGTATGTTCTTGATATGCAGTTCACATGCTCTTGAACTACAAACCAATAAGAATAGTTGAACAATTAAACCAGATTTTCATCCCAAAGTAAATTATCTTCTACAAAGGAAAGTGGAACAGCCAAAAATATATATCTAATGGTGATCTTCCTTCTTTTTACCTATCCTTGAACAGAGGTTTATATGGGATAGCACAACTGATCCTTATGTTTATATATAGCCCAACTTGAATACATTAAAATGTATTTGCCAAATACAAACCAACAGTAAATTGTTGTTTTCTACACCGCAACCCATACATTTTCATTATTATCTATTCTTGTATGATACTCCTCTTCAATACAGCTTGTACAAAACTCGCAGTGGTCACCCACCCAGGCATCTCCTACTGATCCTATTTCTCTCCATTTGGATGATTTATCTTATCAAACATAGATATAGTTTCAACAGTTAAAGATACAGCCTTATTTTCCTATAACAATATTTATGGAATATGAATAAACCTATTGCCAAGATTTTCAAATAAAAACGTACGCAGGACCCACTCATACAAGCTTCCCTAGAAATGTGGTATGTCAATTCTGCAAGCATGCCAGACGTATCTGTGTTACATCCTACCTTGGTTCCATCCACACTGATAATTCGATAGCTGTTTCTTGTGCTGTCATAGAAGTAGGAAACAGTTACAGCCTGCTTGCTTGCAGGAACCCAGTTCTTCTTGGTGGTGGGGTCAATTTGGAAGACATGCGCTCTGGTGGTAAAGATGGGCTGTTCTCTGGAATAGGGAGGGACAGGAGAAATGGAATGCATCATGAATTTGTGAAAGATGGAAATGTTGTGCAGTTCTGTCCTTGATCAAGGAATATTGATCAAGTGAAGCCCAATGCTCAAAAAATATTCAAGATGAGAATTCACCAATTCCAAAGCAGGAGAGCAAAAACAGCCTGTCACTTGGGCCTGTCCTCTTCTACTTCTTCTGGGCCACATGAT